TGTCATTTGTGTGAGTGTGTGTGTGTGTGTGTGTGTGTGTAAATGTCAGTAAAGCTGTTGTTTGTGATGTCTGACAGTCAGTGGTGTGTGATGTGTTGACAGGTGTGTCCCCAGGCGTCAGGTGTGTTTGACGGAGCTGTCAGAATATCCCTGTCCTCAGTATGAGTGTGTTTCCCGTCCGGCCGGCTGTGACCAGAACCAGCTGGATCCGGTCTGTGATACAGACAACATGGAACATGCCAACCTGTGTCTGCTGTTCCAGCGGAGCAAGAGCCTGGCCTACATGGGACACTGTCAGGTACAACAACACACACAACACTGACTTGACATGTGATGATTGTAATTGCAGAGGTTTTTGGTATGATGTGTGTATGAGTCTGATTTCTGACGTGTGTGTGTGTGTGTGTGTGTTCAGGACGCCTGCAGGAAGCCCAGAGAGGTGTGTGGTCATAACGGGGAGACCTACAGTACGGTGTGTGAAGCGTTCTCGGACCGCGTGGCTGTGGACTATCAGGGTCGCTGTCATGCGGTCGGCGTCGTGTCAGAGTTCACGCCAGACTCGGGCTGTAACGCTGTTCCCTGCCCTCCGCTCTCCAGCCGCGCCTGCAACCCCGTCACACCGCCCGGTGAGAGAACAGACATTTAAAAATATTAATAACTGAAATACTTGAAGTCACCCTGCGGCCCGCTGGTGGAGAAGCACTGGCTTGAACAGTCTCAGAATGAACCATTAAGAGAACTGAAGTGATTTTCAGGGACATCTGTACCTTTGTGAGGGCATTTGTGTAAAACTAACTGAGAAATCTGCTGTGAATGTGTGCAGGTGCCTGCTGTCCGGTGTGTGCAGGTCTGCTGCAGATCCTCTGGAATAAAGTGCAGATGAACACCTTCTCCAAGGTAAATGCTCCATCTTCTCGTTCTGCATTGCACAGAGCTGAGATTCGGTCGTGTTTAAAGTATCCTGTGATTTCAGCCGACTGCATTGAGATCAGGCGGCCAGCAGGAGGCAGTGTGGATCATTTAATAGCACTGCTGGAGTATGAAACGCACCGCCTGACTATTCCCATATCAACAACACACTTTACATCAGCCACTCCACATTCCTGAGCACATTAGTCCAGTGCTTTTATGAACTATTAACGTCAGTGTTTCTATATGAGGTCTGGCCTCGCTCCAAAAACATCAAATAAAATCTAATGTCACAGATGTTGCATTTAATAAATGCAGCAGTTATGCACAATAACACTGCCAATGCTGTACAAATGAATACAATATTGCAATCTCCACTGTTACTATTGCTCATAATAGGGTTAGTGATTTGAACGATGCTTTAAGTTATGCAGCTTGTTAAGGAAAGGTGTATATGTGCTGTGAGATGGATGCATACAGAGTGAGGCAGCATTCATATGTGTGTGTGTGTGTGTGTGTGTGTGTGATATCCAAGGTTGCATTTAGTTTGAAATTTGGATTATTTTATAA